CCCCAAAACCCCAAAACCCCAAAACCCCAAAACCCCAACATTCAAAGATGGCTATAATTTGAAAAGTAAAAAATTTAGAGATTTAAAAGATAGTATATCTGATAAAAGTTTTAATTTATATGATTTAATAAGGTTGTATTGTATGATTGGAAGTAATAACGTTGATAATTGTCACACAAGGCTTAATCCATACTCATAAATTCTTATAAATCTGAATCCAAAATGTTTTAGCAATCACAAGACTAAATTTCGATTTCATTTGGACCAGACTAGTATTAAAGTTACTGAAGCGGAGAATTCTATCACATTACGGGATGATTAATCTAGAATATGTGGCATCAGGGAGAAAATCAAAGATACTAATAATTATAGTCTATTCGATTAAAATCTGGCTTAAACAGACCCCAAATAATCTCTTCCTTATCTATCCTACTATCAAAATGTAAAGTTCATAGTTGAGAGAAAGGAAAGAAGGACACTGATATCGACTCAATCAATCAGACCTAGAATGGTGAAATAAAAGCAAAAGGAGCATATTAAGCTAACAAATGAATATTGTTAGTAAAGCAAGGATTAGGAAATGGAAGAGGAGAAACATCAATAGGTTCATTCAATAGACTTATTCAGTGATGAAAGTGAAAGTTTGCACGAGAAAAACATTTTAAAAAATGAAATTCCATGATGATTACCTTCTAATATGGAATAGTAAGGAATAAGAACCGATGTTATATACAAAACAATAATGAGGGATATGAGAAAGTTTTATGTGAGATATTTTAACAATTTTACCAAATTTACTCGTAAGAAGAGGATTAAGGCTGGCAGGTTCTACAAAGAGTGTATGAAATACTTTATCAAAAACTATTTCCCCGAACTTAATAAATATAGCGAAATCTTTATTTCAGAAAATCCTGATAAAGCTTTAGACTTAAATGGAGTAGTAAATTTTCTTACCTAGTTGATATATCCAAAATATTTGAAAGGAATCGATGAAATTTCAGAAATTGATTATTAATCCTAGGGTGGATCAAATTAGGAACCTCAAATGACTAAGTCTTAAAAACTTCTGCAATTAAAGTCCCACACTATTAATAGGTACCTATACTAGTTCACACTTGCCAGGCTCAGCGAATTAATTAATTTGCCATAGTTTGCATACTTATATTGCAATTATTACGAGGAACAAATTCTTAGCCCAGAACAGAATAATACTAAAGCTTCGCTGTATTTAAATCGATCTGCCTACCTTAGGTCTTGTAATTAGTTATTGAAGCTTTGCTAAAAAACGCTAGCATTGATATCCGAAAGGTAGATTATAAGCAGGATTAACACAGATTTAAATGAAAAAATGATCCATTTTATAGAATTGGCACCCTAGGGTAGAAATATTAATCAGATTCCTGAAGATAGTGAGAGGGAGGTAAATTAATGTATAGTGTACCCAAGAAGACTACGAAAATTCTAATAATTGAAATGATTAAAGCATGCATAGCAAATAGACTATCTCTCTATGTTCTTGAAAATTAATGAATAATTTTTGATCACTACTACTTGTAGTTCTTCATTAATATCTATTTAAAACTATATGATTTGCAGCATTTATTCATTTGCATATAATCTTCTACGAAGATCCAACTAATGACTACTCCAGGGGTTTTGGGGTTTTGGGGTTTTGGGG